CCGTCGCCTTGTATGCACCGGGGAAAGACACAAGGTTGCTGGGTTTCTTGGATCCGCTTCCACCCGACACACTCAGCTGCGCGCAAGAGATGTAAAACTGGGCGCCTCCCTCCTTGGCAGCCGAGTGCAGCGCGACGTGCTCGATGCGAAAGAGGTAGTCGCCGTCCTCAAGACACTGCGGGATCTTGAAGTCCACCGTCGCTTTGTCTGTTTTCTTATCAACTTCACCCGCATCTTATAATACGAGGGCGAGACGTACTCATGGAAGGCCAAGTCATCCCGGACCCAGAAACGCTCGGCATGTCCTGGTACACTTTGAACCAGACCGTCCCAGATCCATCAAAGGTCGCGAAACTGCGCTTTGAGAAGCATTTTGACGGCTTGGCGATGGTCCGATAGCAACAGATTGAGAGAAGAAGGAAAGGCTATCTCGTCTTTGTCGTTATGAAGAGCAGACAAGAGAGCTTGCGGGCAATAACAGGGAGCCCCATGCTTATAAGAGGACAACGCAAAAAACCTGCGTGATGGCAGAGAGCATGGGACGTAATCAACAGCGTGCCGTGACCCGACTTCAAGTTCTAGAAGCCGTGGGGTATGGTGCAGCAATATCTGGGGTACACGGCGGGTAAAATGCCGTCCACTCGGTTCTCCTCACTGGACAAGGGATGCCATATGAATAAATGACACGGGAACGAACTTCGGCGCATGATCTTGGATGGTAAAACGACCAACAAAAACAACAAAAGAAAAGGCAAGGAGTGCACCCAACAAATGGGGGCATTGAATGACGGGAAGAAGGGCTTGTCTTCGGTCAAATCTATGGGACCTGGAATCTACATATGAGAGTGTCTAGCCAAACAATGTGAATCGTCTTACCATCCAATGGACCCAAGTACAACCATAACCCTCTCTATATCCTTTCTTCATCGCTCAATGTCTTGGTCGCGAGAAAAGGTCACTTTCCGTACATAGAAAGCTGTCTTTTTAGTTGCTACAGCTATTTTCGCTACTGATCTTTAATCTCACAACCCTTTTTAAATCTGATCTGTAGTATAGAGTTATTATCTATTACCTTTTTACGTGCAGGACGCTGGATAATGTTGCATCTCAGATTAAATGTCCACTTTGTGTTTTTACTAAATATTTATTTCCTTTTCGACAAGATTGCACGTATCCATGCCAGCACCCGACTAGTTCAAGCCCTCCGGAAGAGCAAAGTAAATGGACAAACTAGGTAGATATAAAAAGCGTCTGACATGTGGCCCAATTCAGATTCGAACTCGCCACCTGCTAGTCAGCGTTCAGACGCACTGCCGATTGAGCAATCCGTCCGAACAAAACGACAACATACATGGACGGACGAGGACAGCATCGCACACTGCACAGAGAAAGAAAAAGAAACATTACAAAAAGGCGGCATTAAGTAAACCGAGGATGGGTAGTCGATGGGTTGAAAAGGACAAAAAGCGAAGACCAGACGAGCTGGTGTTTCATTCAGTGCAATACATTGTGTGAAGCTACTTCGCTGAAATAGTGGAGTGGTAAAGTTCCATATATATGGGGTACTTCTTAAGCCACTTCGGGATTAGGCGGTGTCCCAACTGTTAGACTACCGACTACCTAAGTGGTTTCCTTTCGCGGAGCCACCATTATTATCGACGAACCTCGAACAAATAAACAACTAAGCTACGTACTGTTACGTACTGTGACTACGTACTGTGACTAAGGTCCAAATCATCCTCCGCACAAGATTTTCTCTTTTATCGTCATACCCACGGTCCGTGTGCCTTCCACTTTACCAGCGGGAGGTTCCCCTTCCTCCACGTTCCCGTGCCGCCGCGAGATCCGTTTCCAGAGAGATCTAGGGTGCAATCTCGACATTGGCGCCCTCTCACCCCCACCCTGACCAGCTTCTGCCACCATCTCGTTGGACTGCGCCTCGACAGATTGTGATTGGAGTGAGCCGGTCAGTGCGCCGCTGGAAACTGGTTCACGTAATCCAGGCGGTATTCCGCTGCCTCCAGCTTCTGCCACCATCTCGTTAGACTGCGCCTTGACAGATTGTGATTGGAGTGAGCCGGTCGCTGCGCCGCTGGAAACTGGTTCACCTAATCCAGGCGGTATTCCGACAATGTGCCTGCCACTTTCTAGCTGAGACTCTGTGAAACTCTCTGACGGCCTTTCAGAGCAGTCCAGATATGAGATTCGTCCTCCTTTGGCATTGTAAAAGTGGTGCCAGAGGAACAAGTCGCCTCTTCGTTCCATCAAAGCCAGCATCGATGAAAAGCCCTTGATGAAGAACTGGTTGTCAAATGTCGTTATACGGTCGGTCCTAATCAACTTTGCCATTGCGTTCAACGGGATCTCGAGACCGGTGCCCGCCAGCAGGGGCCATTTAAGGGCTTGCCCTCCACCTTCTCGAAATGAAAGTGGATTTTGAAGCAACGCTGTGCTGTCGGGGTGTCGGGTTGTTTGCTGGAAGATTTGTCGGGACCTTTGACCGAAGGAGAGCAATACCAAACGCCGCTGTGCTGCTCTCTATGTGGTGGCGGTCTGAGAGCGGCTCCTAGCCATGCAAGCTGCTCTCCAATGTCGGCAATGGAAGGTCCCGTCCCAACCACGCTCACATTAAACATAGGCCCGCTGGACCATGCTACCAGAGTGGTTGTGTCCGGTAGGGTGGCTGGAAGCGTCTGATTAGAGTCACATCAGGAGCGGCCACGCATACTTGTGGATTACTTACCAGAATATTGCTCGCCAGGTTTCCTCCGAAGAACTGCTTGTACTACCTGAAGCACGGCAAGTGAACCCCAAGTTTGTGAGAGATATTGGCTGGAGGTCAAGGCTTGGGCGTCTTGGGCTGATCCGGTGATCGTAATCGCCGTTGCAATGGCTTCGTCTGGACTGGCGTTGTACATTCCCTCCTTGACGAACGACGCAGGATCCCATTCCACCTGAAAAAGAGCTTGATGTGCCCCGCTCAGCGCCTTTCTGCTGACTTGATCTCGGTTTCGAGGCAGTGAGCGAATGATTCCCTGTCTAATTGCTCCTCTCAGGTCTGGATCTGCTGGGGCTAGAAGAACTTGTCTCTTCAGGGTTTCGAGGAGCCATTCGTAAGCTGCAGAATCGACGAGGCAGTCTTGGTACTCCTGAAAGTCATGCACATCGGTTTGTGAGCCTTCGCCTTCGTTATCGAGAGAGCTCTCTGCCGAGCCATTAACACTTAGGTCATCATCACCAGGAGGCAATACCTGTGAGAGAAGCATGTCTGAATCTGGCCTTGGCGTATTTTGGCCCCAAAGCGCCATTTTACCGTCCAGAGGCGTGTTGGGATCGTCTCTCGCCAGAGATACCCCGACAGGACTATCTGCGTCACCATCTTCAGCGTGTGCTTCCTGGAACTGGCGGGAAATTCCACTGGTGATTTCAGTCAGTCATAGTTGATAGGGGGGATCGGCAGGACAACTCACACTCGATTTCTCCGCACAAGGTATATTATCTCGTAATGTCGGTACGTTGGCGGATTATAGCCGATCTTTATCGCAAATTCCTTGAGGAGTTCTGGAAGAACAGCTTCAAGCCGCTTCATCGCAAACCCGTCCAGATACGCTCGAGGGATCGCATCCCGCAAGCGTCGAGAAAAGTCTGAAACATAGCCTGCGATCCACTGCGGAGACATGTTTGATGCGCCCGTGAAATCCGTGTGTCCATCGCTTGGTTCCACGTCACTCGGCTCCCCGTCCTTGTTCTCCTCGTCGATGACCGTCACGGCGTCTTGAAGAGGGAGAATCTGATGTTCTTTACTGATTCCCTTCCCCTCCCGACTTTCGCTTGGCGCAAACCAATCGGTATGGGGTGCAGATTTTGCATAATGGGAACGTCCGGCCGTCTCCAAATTGCTCGACCATATATCAGCTCCCTTCTCTTGGCTTTCAAGAACAGGCGCGAGGCGATTCACGCTAGTAAGCATGTGGGGATGCTCAACGCTAACCACCTTTGTCCGTAGCTCGAGCGTCCGATATAAATGCTGTGCCTCCACGTACTTCTTCTGGAATCGAAGTGCATCTGCAAGGTTCTTTATGCTGCTGAGCGTATCGGGATGCTCTGACCCAAGTAAATTTTCCTGTAGCTCGAGCGTCTGCCGATGTATACGCTCTGCCTCCTCGTACTTCCCCTGGGCTTCAAGTGTTTCTGCGAGGTTGTTCATGCTGCTGAGCGTGTGAGGATGCTCTGAGGCAAGCAACTTTGCCCGCAGCTCGAGCGTCTGCCGATAATATATATACGCTCTGCCTCCTCGTATTCACCCTGGGATCGAACTGTTTCTACGAAGTTGTTCGTGCTGCTAGCGAGCTTGTTCATGCCGCTGAGCGTATAGAAATGCTCTGAGTGAAACACTGTTTCCCGTAGCTCAAAATATATTGTTCTAACATGGCCTTCGATGCGGAAGCCGCAGTGGCAGCGGCGAAATTCTGCAATTTCTTATTCTTGTGGCAGTCCGCATAATTGCACACGCCTTTGACAATGACAACGATGCAGGGGACCAGCCCCTTCCATCTCGAATGCGATAACGCCTTCTTTTCTTGCGATCATATCTAGGTCCTCCCAGATTGTATCAGCCCTCGTGATGCGACGGGTCCAACATAGATGGCAGGCTCATGCACACCGTCGCTGTTGTCTCGCTCCAATTTTCACTTAAGCGTTCTCGAGCCACCAGGTATCGATCGTCGCATCCTAATTCACCGCAGGGCAATCTAAGTGCCTCGTCGCAGACGGGATCGAGCCTCCTATGCCAATCGCTGCAGATGCATGTGGGCAAGATGCGGTGCTTGTGGCGATAACTTGGCTCAAACTGAAACAACTTGTCTTTCGCCATTCCCGGATCGGCGGATACCTGTATCGAATAGCTTCGTATGGGGACATCTGTGGCAGGTTTCTTACGGGAAGGGTCTTCGCTGCTGCGTGCGATATGGGTGACAAAAAGGCACCAATCTTTCATCAAAGCCCGATTAGCTCAGCTGGTTAGAGCGTCGTACTAATATGCGCTCAAAAGGCCATATATGGTATGCGAAGGTCAACAGTTCAATCCTGTTATTGGGCATTTCCTTTTGCACTTTTTGCCCATGCAACCTCAAATGCTTTCATCATGCCTGTGCACGAACAGCTAGATGTCGTCCTGGGATTTAAACCCAGCTGCGAGATTGATGTGAGCTCGGATGCCTCTGCCGCATATGGTCCGTTTGACAGACCTTTACAAGGTCCTGCCACTAGCGGTGAAACTCTTGCCAGATAAGAGAAGCCACAGCAATAAAGCTATATTCTGAAAGTAGAACTTGGCATGAGATACGTAGAGACATAATACAGACCTAAGTTATTCTCACAGAGCTCCCGTCAAAGCGGCCTTCTGCTCACGTGCGCAGCGAGGAACCTTACCCAGCCCTGTGGGTCGCTGTCCCAGGCGGACGGAATAACGGACTTCCGAAACGCGCTTGCAAACCGTGGGGTCGAGTCCAATTTGATGGCGGGGTGTCAAAATCCGTACCTTAGACTAATGGCGGGGTGGTGACTCAAAATCCATCCCACCTTGCGCTGCACTTTGACGATTTGGCCACCTTGCCCTCCGACACTTCGCTCGAGAATTGCGCATTAAACTCTCCTACCAAGGCGCCACTTTTTACCATGGAGCTCGACGCCAAAGCGCGCTATGCGCTCATCAGCGAAAACCTTGCCGAGGTCCTAAACCCCGAGATCATTGAGGGCATCTTGGCGGAGGGGCGCAACCCGAGAGTTTACTGGGGTAAGTCAACACTTCCTTAAGTCATGCCTAAGCTCACAACACGAGCTGACGTGTTTTTTACGCAGGTACCGCGACGACGGGACGACCGCACACAGGCTACTATGTTGCCGCGATCAAGATTGCGCAGCTATTAGCTGCGGGCTGCGAGGTGGTGGTTCTGCTGGCAGACATTCACGGTTTCCTCGACAACCTCAAGGCGCCCCTGGAGCTCGTCGAGAGTCGGGCGAAGTACTACCAACACATCATCACGGCTATCCTCGAGTCCGTGGGAGTGCCCACTGCGAAGCTCGAGTTCGTCCTCGGCAGCTCCTACCAGAAGAGCCCCGACTATGTTATGGATGTCTACCGCATGGCGTCCTTGACATCAGAACACGACGCGAAGAAGGCCGGTGCGGAGATTGTCAAGCAATCGAGCAATTCGCCGTTGAGCGGCCTGCTCTACCCCATTCTCCAGGTTCTCGACGAGGAACATCTTAAGGTGGACGCGCAATTAGGAGGTGTCGACCAGAGGAAGCTATTCGTTGCTGCAACGGAATGGCTACCGAAGCTTGGGTACCGAAAGGTAGGACTGTTGCAGCGCCAGTGGCTAGCACAAGCTAATGGCATTTAGCGCGCACATCTCGTCAACCCCATGATTGCCGGTTTGCACGGTGGCAAGATGAGTGTAAGTGGCTCTTCTTCGTCCGAGTACCCATAAAATTCCCAATTCGCTAACTTAGAAACTTGATAGTCTAGTGAAGAGGGTAAAGTCACCTTTACAACAGTCCCGAGACCTCATATGTACTGACAATCATCAGACAGCAAAATCGACCTCCTAGACTCCCCAGACCTTGTCACCAAGAAGCTGCGGAAAGCGGTCGCGGCCCCCAAGATCATTGCGGGTAACGGTATCTTGGCGTTGGTAGAGTTCATTCTCCTACCGGCTGCCCGCCTAAAGGGCTCCAAGGAGTTCCGAGTGGAACGCCCAGATGGACAAGAGCCGCTGGTCTACACCGACATCAAGAAGCTGCATGAGGACTACGAGAACGAAGTGGTGCGTCATTCCTGGCTCAGCTTTAACGATGTACTTCAACTAACTGCAATCTAGTTGACGCCACAACTGATCAAACCTGCGGTGACAGCAGCCTTGATTGACCTCATGGCACCTATCCAGACCGCCTACCAAGCATCGAAAGACTGGCAGGAGGTCACACTCAAGGCCTACCCGCCGCCGGAGAAGAAGCAAAAGAAGGTCAAAGACAAGGGTTCCCGCTACCCCGGGGCTAAGCCAGGAGCCGATGGAAAGCCTGCTGCTGATGGCGCTGCAGTTGAGCTGCCGGAACGGCCCGCAGAACAGCCCGCCCAATAGCATTACTAGATTTACGTGAATGGAAAATTTAGATGGTTGAGACCAACAGGAAGCACCTCGTCACAAGCTAAAGACTTTCTCCTTTAGATAGAGCGCCTTATCTTATGGATCTTGAACTCCAATATCTGAGCTCTTTGAACGCAAGTGAACTTTTGAGACAAGCACTCTTCTCTTGGCGAGGTGTTGGGTAAAGGAGGTCATAAAAGTCGGCACCTGTTCAGCCAGGCAACGGCTACCTTGACACCGAAGGTTTGACAGCGGCAGGATTCTTTGTGAGAGACTTGAGCGAGCTTGGACAGGTCTGGCTATGGATGCATAAGAAGAGGATTTTATCGAGATAATTTACTAATAGCTCCGATGTCTTAAAAATCTTTTATGCCTGTAGGACCATGGTATAGGGTGGGAAACCTTCGGCGAGGCTACTGTTTAGGCTTTCAGATGAGACTAAACATGACCCCCTGGCAGCAGGCCTGATGTCAAGGTAAAACCTGACAGGGTAACTGAGAGCCTGACGATCGGCAATCGATACTACGTACTCTTAATAAGTTACCACTCACTTTCTGCTTATTCGCATGTTGCATCGTGAACTCACAAGCTCATTCGCTGCGTGTCAGCTTACCAACCATGATCTTTGGTGAATGCGTATAGTAGAAAGTGAGTGGGTAATTACGTAGATAGAAGCTTCGACCTATCCAAGTTGAATCCGGTCGATTTGCTATCGTGAGATTCACTCCCGTGCATTTAACAAACTGGTGAAGCATACCTGCAACTCCTGTGTTTTTTTTTCAACTTCTTCAGGTGATCTCTTACGAAAGCGGCCAATAGACTTGTAACTCTTACCAAGCATACATACTGAACCTTAATAATCCAGTTCTCACTTTTCTATATGACGAAGACCGTGGTAAAACAGTTCCAGGGTACAGAAGAGAGCCTACTTAGTTTCGATGATACACAGACGGAGTTCTCATTGAATGATAAAACGCACATGTCCTACTGTACTAATGTGTTTCTATATTTCTATATTCTAGAGTAAGAGCTACTTATACTGTGGTATATACATGCCTCATGAACCGGTTTCCAGGTTTCCGACATTCCTCCAACCTCAACAGCGACACTAGTCTAAGGCCGTAATATAAAACATCAGGTCAATGAAACTGACTGAACTAAACTAAAACGAGACAGCTAAAGGGGTCCCGACAAGAAAGCCACCAAAACCTGAAAAAAACACCGTGACAGAGCCATCGATGTGCCCTTGTCTTGTAATTCCCCAAACCAAACAAACACCCAGTCCCTCGCAAAAAAAAAAAGCAACCACAACCATATGTGTACATTACCCCCATATCCGCTGATCCCGAACATAGAAAAACTTCCAAAGAAAGGAAAGGAAAGGAAAGCAGCCACTCTGCCTGTGCGAATCCGTGGGACATCTGAGTTATATTACCTTCCGTGATGTTTCAGAGTGTTGTCAAGCAGCATATCGAATCTGCACCCCCCCCCCCCCAAACAATGCAATCGCTCCCCGGTCGGCTGTGAGATAAAACAGATCCGGCGTACCGGTGTCACGGCCCATAAATGCCATGAGTTTTTTTGAACTTGTCGAAAACGTGAATGAGATCTGGTCGTTATCGAAACAGCTGCCACTGGTTCTGGTCAACGGTTCCGGGGTAATCGTAGTGTGTGCGGCGGCCTGTGACGTTTTGCTCAAGGTATGTACATGTACCCTTCAGGTGGTGGTGATGTTAAATCATAAGGTAGGTAGGTAGTGGCGCTGTCATAACGCAATAGTCTTTTTCCTCGTGGTGGTGGTGGTGGTGCTGATGAAGCTCGACGCCGCGTGTTGTGGTACGTGGACATATTTCTTCTCCTCCCTCAGATCATCATCGGTCTGGCGGTTGTTGATTTCAACTTCAGGTTGTGTAACATGTGTGTTATGTGCCACTGCCGCCGGTTTCCACCATCTCCTCAGTCCATCTAGCGGCGAACACCTTCTTCGAGTTTGTGTGTTGATGTTCGTGTGGTGGTTCATTTTTTCGTATTCACTGTGTCGGTCCATCTTTTTTTACTTGAGAAACCTTGTTGGCTCTGTTTTTTGGAAGTGTTGTTGTCGAGGTTTGGCGAGGGTGTGTGGCTGGGAGATGGGACAAAAGGGACGAAGGGGGAAACGGAAAAGATAGGTAGGTACCTTGGTGTGATACTTCAGTACGCTTAGAGTTATTTTCGGGAGCCAAGTTTCCATCTCCACCGGTCGTGAACGGTGATGATGACGTCTCCGAGGGCTAGATGAAACTAGAATGGCATGGCTATTTGGCTACGAGCCGTAGTCTAGATGTTCGTCGTCTTGGCAGGTTAGTACAGCTGATCTAGATCTCGCTTGTCTAGCCTGGCCAGCCATCATTGCTGATAGCCCGCGGCGCGTTGTTACTCGACCTGATAGGGTCCGGAGCGCTCCCGGGACTAACTTGAACTAGGTAGGAGACGTTTTTGGAAATGGTTGGGAACTATCGTAACCGACCCGCGTCTCGACCGGACCGAGAAGATATACGTAGTAGTATGTTGTGGATAAGGTGGGGACTCGTAAGATGAACATCTGTTATGTATGTGGGATCGTAGATGGGTCCGGAATTATCTGATCTGCTCCATCATTCGATTCATTCCCCACCTTGGACCACTCAGATCAAATCTAGATCTATGTATGTACACTACCGAGACGCTACCCACGCACGTCAACAGATCTATGCATTACCCGAAAGTTGCCCTTAGCGATTTCCTTTGTCGTGCATGGACCTGAGCTGCCGCTGCTTTAACCTGAGCCATGGGTGAGTCGTGAGTGAGCCTTGTGGGTCGTCTGCGGCACAGCCACGGAGCCACGTTTCTGGCCACCCCGGCTAAAGTTGCTATTTACCAAAATGGAAATAATGCAGGGATATTTTTTGGGTTCCCCGTTTCGGGCTCACGC